AAAGAGTGTGATATCCCTTGATTTATTTTGCATTATAATAATTGACATTGTATTATGGTGAAAATCTAAAACTTAGCTTGGCTACCGAATGTCTTATCTAGTTACCCTCAATTGTTTTTGAAGATGGTGTAGTCAGCAAATGCATCAATACCACTAATATTAGTAGAATTTTGTTAGCTATTAAAACTTCAATTGATAGAATTTTATTAGCTATTAAAAGGTGCTAGATAGCGTGTCTTTTAGGTTTTTGATAACCCTAATTCTTAATAATGATTTGAATGATACTGTGTTGTGCAATGTTGTTGGTGAGAACAATATAAGAAGTGGATAAAAAAATATTAGATATTTAAAAAAAATAACCAAAATAATATTAAAAATATTTAAATTTTAATCTTACAATGACTAAAATTAAATAATTTTTTTTTTAAATATTATGTGTAACGTTTATTAAGTAAGTATTAAGTAACATAAATTGTAACACATTCTTTTATAATTAAAAAATGTAAAGATTAAAATATTGTGCATTGGAAGTAGGGATTAAAATCAAATTTTACATATTTTGCATTTATCTCAAAAAAATCAAATTTTAAATATTTTGAAGTGACGAAAAACATTTTTAACCTTACATTACACATTCATTACACTTTTACACGCGTCACTGACATGAATTTATTTATTTTTTTAGCATTTTTTAAAAGTATTGTAAATGTGTAAAGATAAAAATTTCATTACACATTTACACGCGTCACTGGTATGAATTTTCGGAGTTTGCACGCATGCTATATTTATCATAATTTATCTTTTTTTCTTCTTGCATATATGCTTAACTAATTATGAGGTGTCAAACGGGTATCCATTATCCAAAGTGATGCCATTGTCTGCCACTTCACCGTGAAACACATGAACACATCATCACATTAATGTTTCTTAATACTAGGCAGAAGAAATCAATAACTTTTTATTTTTCGAAAAAGAGAACCTTCTCAATCCATTAATGCTGTATAATGACTATACTGTCTTCTATTGTCTTTACAAGATCCTAAAACAAAAACGTTTATTGCATTATATAAAATCAAACTAAAACATTTCTAACATTACTTATTTTTTATAAAAAAAAAATACTTATAATTAAAGACATTTGTTTTAATAAGTAATTGGAAGAATAAGAATCTCTTGATTTTTTAAAAATAAATAAATATACATTTAGGACATTTAACGTTGTCAACCGAATTAATCAATTTTCTCAATCTTAATAAAGTAAGTTATTGAGTCTTATAAGAAAGTACGAAAGGAGTATGATTGTTTATCGTGTTACAAACATAATGAATTTTTCTCCTACAATGTTTTTTTTAATTAGTTAGGTTTTAAACATCATATACAAATATGCAGAATTCTTTAACCCATTCAAGTGAAATAATAACAGGATGTGATTTGTTCAATCTTACAAGGAGTTAATTGTTTCAATTGGAAGTGCACATGCCTGACCTTCAATTGTAAAGTGTGTTCCGTGTTGTGTAATTTAGCCTTCATATATTATAGACAATTTGACATTATCTTTTTGCTTCTAGCCTGTCCTTGCATCCTACCATGAGTCCATCAAAGTATTAGTAGCAGTTCAATGGCCATGAATCTCATAAGCCTCAATTCCTTTCTCTTGATGGCAAATGGTTACACAAGTTGTTATCAGATTCCACCAACATACCTGTTTTGTTAGTGAACATCCTCTATTATGTTTTGTTAGTGAACATCCTCTATTTCCTCATTCACCTTGCACTTTTCTTTAGCTCTTAATCATAGTCTGAGATTTATCCTCTGAGACATATTCATTATATCTGAAAATATCAAATCTCCTCCAATATCCTCTCCTGTGGCTCCAGCAGCAACTAGTAAAACATCTTCAATTAAGGCAACATTTAGCATAATGTTGGAACTTGCTCCAGTCTCTAGGCTTCTATCAACAAGACTGCCTGGTTGTTTGAGCGGATACTCTCTTGTGTATGTAGCCATGCCAGATGGATTGAACCGGGTTTGCCTGCGCCATCCTTTGGCACACATGAACCCTGAGCTTACAATAGGCACACTCTCATCACCATCCACAGAATTTTGTAACAAACTTTCTTCTTCTCCATCTGATGAAGCATCAGTTTGGATAGGAAGACTATTGTACTTGTGAGAAGGGGACAAATTGTGTACATGTGATCTTTCAGTGGGAATTCCCACAGCATATAGACAGTATATTTCCATATCCGGAGCATCAGGTAGTCTGAATCAGAAATTTATATTAAGTTTTTAAAACTAACAAGTCAAATGAGAATGATTAAAAGTAGTAGTAGAACCAACATCTCATAGCTTTCAATGTTTGATGCTTAACTTACTAAACTTAGATAAGGAACTTTTCAATAACTACGAAAAGTTGCGTCAAAAAGAGTGTCAATGAAAAGGAAAAACTAGTCAAAAATATTTCATGAATATACATACATACTTACTTGGTCTCAAGTGGATTAGACCAGTATTTGTAATGACAATACTTAGGATCATCTAAGTTGTCTGCTATCCCGTGAGAAAAATGAGCCTCAGCACGCTTCATCATTTTTGGAGCCACAAAGTTAAGCAGATCAAAAACTGTTTTTGCAGTATAAGCCTTTTTCTTAGCAACTTTTTGGATGCTTTCTCTGCTCATCTCATCATAACCAGTCCACACAGCCTCACATGATAAGTTAAAGTTAGCAGAATCACATCCCCATGAAATTTCCTGCT